TCCTGTCCCAGGATCAGGTTTTGACCTGAGGCTTAGTTCACTACATCCTCGAAGAAGGTTTTCTGAATTAATACTGCAGCTCGTGGAATCACTCTGAAGTTCACGTGACTTGCAGCCAAGAATGAACGTGTTTCTGCAGACCGAGCCAGTGGTAGCCTCTAGGGCTGAAACGATTCCTCGAATAATTCGAGGACCTCGATTACAAAAAATCCTCGAGGCAAATTTATCTGCCTCGAAGCTTCGTTAAACTGTTCACTTTCATTTTTCTAGCCGGACGGTTTTTGTGTTACACAACGCTAGCACTTCCGCTAGCGCTTCTGCCTGTCGCGCGCGCATATGTTTACAGCTATGGAGGGAAACGGAGAACAGCCCAGAAAACGACAGAAACTATCCAAAGTTTGGGAACATTTTAAATTAAACAGAAAAATATAACAGCGCAATGCATCCACTGCAAAGCCGAACTCTCATTCCACAACAGCACGTCATCGATGTTGCAGCATCTGAAAACTCCCGCTGTATGAATCAAACTCGTCCGCAGCTGGGAACAGGTATCATTTATGCTCTCTTTGCAAAATACGTGAACCTAAATGTATGATAATCTGTCATGTTATACATGTAAAATGAGGCATATTTTTGCTAACATAACGTTACACTACATCTACCTGGCAGGGTAGCTTGTGTGAGAAAGAAAGAAAGAAAAAAAAAAACCACGCAGGACTTGATGCACGTTTGTTAACGATAGAAGCAGCAACAGACTGACGCATTTATTTATTGCTGTACTTCCATCCTGACTCTAATGAGATATTTAGGGTGAATATTTCAAGTGTAAATGTATTTACACAAGGTAGCAGTGGCGGTTCTAGACCAGTTGTACTGGTGGGGCCTAGCTGGGGCCAGAGGTTTTGTCAGAGGGGCACGTTCATCTCAGAGAAAAAGACAGATTCGAAATCTTACTTGACTCTTGTTTTTTTAAAGCAGTGATTAACCATTGCAACCAAAGAAAATGGTTAAAAAAATCAAATGAGAAAAATATAAAACATTTTCCAGACAGTATTTGTATTGACTGAAGAAAATATATTAATAAGCAAATAAAATGATAATGAAAATAACTGTTAAGTGAAGTCTTGGTTCAGTTTCTCAGTCCAAAATTATATAACAACATTGGCTGCCCTACTATCACAGCAACTGTATTCTGCGATTTTGATGATTTCTGGCAAACCGATCAACAAATGAGTCAAGATTCAATGCCTTTGCCCTCCTCGACTCAATGCTCAGTACACCCAGATTGCTTAGTCTCTCATCGTTCATGGTGGATCTGAGGTATGTTTTCACAAGCTTTAAGGTAGAAAAACTCCGTTCACAAGATGCAGTACTCACTGGGATCGCAACTGCTATTTTACAGAGTCTGTAGAGCTCTAAAAACACTTCTTTATATGGCTCGATGAACTGTACTAGCTCTACTGTACTAGTGGGTCTCTGCATCCCAGTCTGAATTTTTCTGTCTAAAATCCTTCTGAACTGATGTAGTTCATGCCCCAGGTCATCAATACTTGAATCATATAACTGAGCAAATGAAAACAGAGCAGTCTCTTTCAGGAATGCATCTTTTTGGGGATTTAGAGCATGGATGCTGTTCATCATATCACAGTTTCTCCTAGAAAATCGTCTTTCAAGCTCACTGAGCATTAGATCAATGACAGGGTAGAAAAAGTTTGTACGAAACCTGTCTTTATCTTGTTCTGACTCTCTCTGCCCAACAGTGGTCAGTACACAGTGCTCGCTGAGTTTAGAGCTTAGTGTTTTTTGGCGTTTTGCAGCTGGTGGTGTTGAATCACACTGCCCAAAAATATTCAACACTTCATCCCACACATGATCAAAAAATGACTCCTGCCTGAAATCTCTCAATGTCTGAACTAAAGCTTCAACTAAATCCACAGCTTTTGAAATGTCAAGTGTTGAAGGCTGTAGCATATCAGACAGAAGTTTTGTTTCTCCAAACACTTTACGGAGTGTAACAAGATGCACTATAAATTCAAGATTTATCTGTGCCAGCAGACCTCTTGCCTGAACAGATCTTTCACCATTATGTTCTCGGGCAATTTCTTGCAGTAGTCGCTTAAGGGCAGGCAGTCTATCCATGATGTTACGCAGAGCTATAAATCGACATGCCCAACGAGTGTCACTTAAACGCTGGAGCTCTCTTGGTGCACCTTCGTACATCTCTCTTTGTATAGCTAGCCATTTAGGATGGACAGCTGATCCAGATGTGAACACATACAGTTTTTCTAGTAAGTAGAAAAACTCCTCTACCTCTGGGACAGCTTTGACTGTATCTACTAAAACTAGATTTAGACAGTGGGCAGTGCAATGGATGTAAAAAGCGTATTTTGCATCCTCTTTGATCCTCACATGTACCCCAGAATGCTTACCGCTCATAACAGAGGCACCATCATAAGCTTGGCCTACAAGATTTGTTTTGTACTCCAGACAATGTTTTTCCAGTATGTGGATTATTTTCTCACTAAGCCCTGCTGCATCAAGCTTCTCTGCAGACTCAAAATGTAGAAAACTTTCCTGGATAGCTCCATTGTAGTAGTACCTTAGTACAAGAGAGATCTGTTCCTTTTTCTTTACATCTTTTGTTTCGTCTGCTATGATGCTGAAAACCTCACTGTTTTTCACTTCTTCTGTAATTTCAGTTCGAACCATGTCTGCGAAACAATCCAGAACCTCATTCTGAATGATTTTGCTTGTATACTTTGCATTATGAATGGAAGTCAACCGTTTTTTTAATAGCTTTGTCGTGGTTAGCAATTGTTTCCTAAATTGCCTTGAAGTTCCCTTTATTGTCTGAGTCTGCAGACTCATTATGCCCTCTTTGAGCTAAATTTTGAGTGGCAGTAAGTAAGAGCACTTCCCCTATTGTTTTTATATATTCACGATTTTCTTTAACCTGTCTGTTGTGCTCCTTGTTTAAGACATTGACCAGTGTTGCATTAGCTGCTGCAGCTTTCTGATAGTCCCTCCATGTAACCATGGCTTGTTTATGGCGCTCAGACCTCGCATGCAATGCAAACCCCGCCTCTTTGTAAGATGCATTCTTCCAGTTTTTAAAACCAACTGGGGAATCAAACACAGTGTCTGGGCTGTTGGGAGGGCTAAAATGTCTGCAAGCGTAACAATACGCAGAGTCCAAGTGTTGTGAATATTCAAGCCAGGGGTGAATGTGATACCAAGCTGCTTTGAAGCTCCTCCTTCTGTCCCCCATCAAGGTTCTTGGAAACAACTTTAGGTCTGGCTGCATCGCTGGATCTTCTTTACATTTGCTGATGTCTGTGGAGAAAGCCAAACAGAATAAATGTAAATTAACATATAATCTGCATGGACACTGCATATAAACTGCAAAGCGCGCACACACACACACGCACACACACACATACATCACAAACCTGATGGTCCAGTGCTTGTGGATACACAAATATTCTCTGTCTGTGTCTCACATGCTGCTTGTATCTCAGTCTCAGCTGTCTCAATTTCAGGATCTTCATCTGTCTCTCTTTCTGTCCCTGTGCCCTCTCGTTGAAAACCAGTGTCTTCCAAGTCCTCTGGCTCTGTGGGGCTCTCAACTTGCTTTTCTTCAGCTCTCTCAACACCTCCATCATCTGTCTCTGTCTCAATGTCTGCCTCACTGTTATTTGTCTTTCTTGTGCAGAAATAAGATGTAATGTCCTTCTTTCTCTTCATTTTGAACTATAGGCAAACATGCATGGAGAGGAAAATACAACACTTCAGCAACTATGAATATTTTTTAACATAAGTTAGCTTGGTTGTGTGTTGTGGTACGTTAACTAGCGTTAGCTAGAAGCATGCAACATAAACGCCTGGTCTGATAGGCTGCTATTATAATTCATAGCCAACATCATTTCTTGACAATAATTGTTACCTTGTATTGTTCGTAGTGGTAATCGTGGATGACGGTCGGTAACTTACTTCCCGCTCTTCTTTTTAAACGGATAACTGCCGTTCGCAGTGGTGCAATGCACTAAAAGGTCCGACTAGAATGTTGTGCCATGAGAATTGGTTCCGCTTCTTGCTCGGAGGGCGGGCCACAGGTAGGGCCAGGCTCCGTGTTACAGGGAGAAGGGGGTCTCTGCAGACCAAAAGTGGGCGTTTCTGGCGAATAGGCGTTTATGGGCGGCGAACACTGATTGGCTAACAGTATTTAATAGGCGTTTGTCGGCGGCGAACACTGATTGGCTAACAGTATTTAATAGGCGTTTGTCGGCGGCGAACACTGATTGGCTGTGGGTAACCCTCAAAGTCACGAGTCATTGATGAGGTAACGTTTCTTTGCGATGTTTGACAAAGAAATATGGTTTATTGTACTTATAAAGTATGTTATGTTTTCACTTATGCATTTTATTGAAGTACGTTTATTGTAGGTCACGATAGTTTCGACCGTTCTCTCGTTGTTGTCGTAACGCACTGAGGTAAAGTGAGCCTCCACTCGGCTCCTTTTCAAAATAAAAGCTGAAAATAAAAGTTCTTAATACTTGAAAAATAAATATTTAAAAGCTGTGTATAACTGAAAAATATGAAAAACAAATAAATAAAAGTTGTTATTAGCTGAAAAATAAATAAATAAAAGCTGTTAATTATATCTATGTCTTTCTGCCATGTCAGGGACCACTCTCACTTCAGACTGACTCTAGAAGACCCCAAGATGTTGCTCAACAATGTTGACCAACATCTGATGTTGACTTTCATTACTCAATAATGAGTAATAACTTACTCAATAAAAAGTCTGTAATTTGTCAATAATAGTCAATAATTCATTCAAGAATAGATTATGGGTGTTTGGTATGGCTCAGTGGCTAAAATGGGTTGGATGTTAGAGAAATTACTTAATTTTCAATTACCTGAATGCACAAATTCCTTCATTTATAGTTAAACTTTAGGAAATCAACTTTTTTTTTCTTGTGAAAAAAATATCAAAATTAACTTTAAAATCCAATCCAGGATTAAGTAACAACTAGCAACACCCTAACTGTACTATGTTCTGTGTTTCCAACAGATGCTACGATGACTTCTAGAAATGGATGTCCCAATAAACACAATAAAAAAATTCAATGATGCATCAAATGTTGTCTGAGTATGTTTTAAGGTAATAACAAATGTGAAATCTGGAAAACAAAGAGAATTCCTGAATCTGTCTTGTGTGCTTTGATGTGTACATAAGTTTATTGGAGGTCCTGAAACAACTTTTCTGAGAACACAAAGATTTTTATTTTACCTTTGGCCAAGATGTCAGTTTGAAATCAGGCTGCTTACTGCAAAACCAAGAGTTTTTTTTAAGACGGACAGTCTTCATTTGTATTGTTTTGTCGACTATAAGCTAAATGTAATTTCTAAAATATGGATAAATCTGATCTCATCATGCAGCATAAGCAACTGGGTATAGGTGTGAGGGCCAAAAGTCTGGTTATGTACTGACTCCTAAATGTGCTGGTTTTCTACTGAAACATGGAGTAGGGTTGACCTATAAAATGTGAGACAGCTGAGGAAGTTAACCAGTAAACAGAAATACCTGCTCCAGTTGCAGAAATCTTACAGAAACTGACAATCACTCATCTGCAGTGACTGCAGGTTGAACAAGAAAATGTGAAGTTAAAGGAAACCTCCTTTGTCCCAAGGCCAGTTTAAGTATCATTAATATTTTTCTTTCTTTATGAATCGATTGTAACTTTGTTCACATTTTTCAACAACCAAAATGGAATTTGTTTTTTAATGTTATGGCTAGGTATTAAAAAAAAACAACTAACATTTAGCTCTCCCCACTACCCAGTCATGTTGCTCTTATTTTGAAATGTAACCGGAAGTTCTGTGTTAAGAGAGTCGAAAAAAGAAGTTATGGAGACGCCGCGGCAGTATACTGGAGCAATGTAGAACCGAGACGCCGCTAATGTCGAACCGGTTAACACCATAGACATAATATGCCTGTGGTTAACACAATCTGCCAATAACGCCTTGTTTTTAGACATCATGTGTCTGTGGTTACGGCATTTTATCGTTCAGCCTTTTTTTTTCTATCGTTCAGCCTTTTTTTTTCTATCGTCCAATCAGATGTGGCCGTCCAGACACGCCCATTTTTATATCGTCCAATCAGATGTGGCCGTCCAGACACGCCCATTTTTATATCGTCCAATCAGATGTGGCCGTCCGGACACGCCCATTTTTCTATCGTCCAATCAGATCCGGTCGGCCAGAAACGCCCATTTTCCTATCGTCCAATCAGATATGACCGCACAGATACGCCCACTTTCCTATAGTCCAATCAGATATGAGCGCCCAGATACGCCTTCCGAATTTGCCTGCAGAGACCCCTTCTTGGTTACAGGGGCACTGGCCCTTGTTGGCCCCACCCCAGAACCGCCACAGTTATAAAGTTGACTGTACTGTTTTTAAAACCTAAACTCCAAGGATATTGTTTATGATACGATTAAATTACAGCGCTGCACTGTCTGTGGCCTCTTGGTAAGAAAGTCTTTAATCTGCATGATGATGGACTAAGCAAACGTCCACCATTATTTTATCACAGTTTTAATTTTTTTGGCTTTCCAGGTGTTTGTGTCCACTTTGCATCCTCCCAATATTTTGAAATTTATTCAACCATTTATACAAATATTTATTAATTTCTTTATTTTTAAATATATGTTTTCCTCAAACACATTGTAATGCTCTTCAGTTCTTTTAAAGACATTGTTCTGTTTTTCATTCAACCTTTATTTAGACAGATAAGTCACAGTTTAAAATCTGCTTTAGCTACTGGCTCTGTACATTAAGTTGCTGTTAGCTTTACTAAGTTTTTTCTACTTGTAGCTTTGAGTTACTGATTAAAACCTTGAATCTTTCTTTGAATCTCTTCTCAGATGCAGGAAGAGAGCCACCTGCATCATGAAAGACCCCACTCACCCAGCACACACACACTTTTTGCCCTGCTCCCCTCAGGAAGGAGGTTAAGGAGCATTAAGTATAGAACCACTACAGCTTCTACACTGAGGCTGTTATCATGAATCTCTAACCAGGATAATCACTGTGAAAAAAATCACATCATGTTGCTGCTGATCTGTTTCATGTTGCTGCTGATCTGTTTCATGCTTATGTGTTCGTGCGTGCTCATCTGCTCACACAGACTCATGCTCATGTTCGTGCTGCTGCTCGACGTAATGTTTTTATGCTATTAGTGCTTAGTGTATTTTAGTTGATGTTTTTCTTAGTTCACATCTTAGATGTTGTTTTTCTTTTACATTTTATTGTTGGATGTAACTGGGACCCTGTGTACATAATTTTGCTCCTCAACATACATGTGGTGCGAGCAACAATAAAGAATCTCTGACTCTGTTTGAGCTGTTTGTTACTTTTAGCCAGTCTTTTGTTACTTTAGGCTAGCCTTCAAGTTTTTTATCTTCTTAATACCATTTTTATCCTTTTAGATTTTAGCTACCATTTAGTTACTTTTAGCTAGTGTTTTGATGGATTTGGCTAGCTTTTTGTTTGTTAGCTTCTAGCTACATTTACTGTAGATAGCCTACTTGCATCTTTTGACATTAGCTAACATGCTGGGGTTAGTTCAGAGACAGCAGGCGACAGTAGCTCAGTAGTCATTTATTAAGAAAAGGTCGTTCCTCAGTTTGACGTCAGCTCTAATGTGTCTGAAACTAAAGATCAGCCATCTTTGACCCACGTCCGTCTGTTTTAAATACTGAAAGAAGAAAAATGTATTTGATTTTAGAAACCACCACAGTTGGACCAGTTTCTGTCTCATTTAGCCCTGCTCAATCCATCCTCCTGTCCCATTTTGTCGGTGCTGGGAGTTGAACCGGTGATTTTCCGATCACAGACCCACCTTCTCTAACCTCTGCACCACCTGCTCTATTCAGAAATATTGGATATAAAATGTTTGTTTATGTAGAAGTAAAGTCTTTTAAAGTCATAAACATCTTTAAACCCCATAATTAAACAACAAAAAGAATTATTGATACGTTGATTACGTTCTAGATCTTTAATATGTTGTACTTTAAAAAAAAAACAAAGAAAACAATTTTAATCATACAACCAACTTCTTGTTTGGTTCACTTCAATCTTATTTCAAATCAGGAGACTAAGATAGTTTACAAAAGTTATTTTATGTATATTTGATCGTTACAACTGGTGTGAAATATAAATCAGGACTTGAATAAAGACAATTATAAGTGAAAAGTTTTTAGGATCAGTGGAACAGTTATTTTTTTCTATTTCGATCATTTCTGTGTGATTAATATAATTATTTTTTCTATAAAATGGTTATAAAATGGCTTCAACCTTCTGAATAAAGGAACATAAACTTATAATTATCATCTTTAGTTGTTTTTAACCATTTTTTCTAGTTATTGTCACATTTTGAAGTTGTTGTTTCTTTCAGGGTAAAGTGGATTTAATGACGCCGTCTGCTGAGGCAGTAAAAATAAACTGATGAAATGTTTTAAACGTCTCTTATCTGCAGCCGCACCTTCCTGTCAAGAGCAGGTGTTTTACAGTTCCCTGTATCTGTTTAGCTCCTGATCTGTTGTCTGGATGAGATAAAAGTCTTGATCCAAATGTCCTGGGTGCAGAATGATATTAACAATTAATTATGCAGCGGGTTTATAAGTGAGTCAAAAAGTTTCATAACTGAACGTTGACTTGAATGACAGTCTGTGTTTGTTCTGACAAAGGAGCAGAAATTACTCATTGAACTGTGATCAGTGCAGCAAGAACAGACAAATAAAGATTATTAAAAAAAAACAATGTTGATAATCACATCAGTTAAACTGGAATATCACCCGCCGGTTAAAGTTAAAATTATCTACCTGTTATCTTTACCGACTTCTTCTTTTTCGGGCTGTGGGGGTCACTGGTGCCCATATCCAGCAGTCACTGTGCGAGAGGCGGGGGGCACCCTGGACAGGTCTCCAGGGACACATAGAGACAAATGAGACAAACAACCATTCACTCTCTCACTTACACCTAGGGACAATTTAGAGTTACCAATCAGCCTAACATGCATGTTTTTGGTCTTGGGGAGGAAACCAGAGCACCCAGAGAAAACCCACGCATGCACGGAGAGAACATGCAAACTCCACCCAGAAAGGCCCCCGGACTGGGATTTGAACCAGGGTAACCTGCTCACTGAGAGGCAGCAGCTCTACCAACTGTACCACCGTGCTGTCCAAGTTAAAATCAAAAACTTTTCGATCCTCAGGGGCCACCACACTGAAACCAGGTCTGGTTCTGTTCTGGACCTCGCTGCTTTAAAACAAGGTCCGGTTTTGTTCACAGATGTGAACACCATCCAGAACTGCTGCCGTCTTCTCTGGACCAGAGCTCATTTCAAATGGACTGAGGTGAAGTCCAGAACTGTTCTGAGGTCAGACGGGTCCAAATCTGAAGTTCTGTTTGGAAACAGTGGACACCATGTCCTCTGAACTAAAGAGGACAGGGACCATCCAGTCTGGTATCTGCTCACAGGTTTAAAGCCTGCCTCTCTGATGGTATTGGGGTGCATTAGTTATGAGTAGCTGGCACTTCTGGAAAGACTCCCATCAATGCAGGAAAACATCTGCCCTCATCCAGTTCTTGTTTTTTTCCCTCCAGAATCCATGTTTTTCGTTAGTTTTTGTTTATATATATATTTTGAGTTTTATAATTAGATGTATTTTATATTTTGTGATTTTTGTGTTTTATGTCACTTGTGAATTCCCGTGTCAGTTCTGACTCCTTCCCAGTGAGCCTGCCATGTCCTCACCTGTTCTCAGTCTGCATCTGGCCCAGGTGTCTCCACTTGCTCATCAGTCAGTTTGTTTCACTCACCAGCAGAGCCGTTCTCACTTCCCTGCCCCGTCCGGTCTCCCTCGAGCCTCCCTGAGTTTCTTCGCGCCTCCTCATGTTCCTCCAGAGTTTTTTTTTTTTTAATGTTTGCAGTCACGCCAGCCATTTTGTTTGGTTTAAAAATAAAGTTTAGTTTAATTTTTTGAGCTCTTCAACTCTGCTGGCATTTCTGGGTCCGATCTTCCTGCCACCGTGACAGGAAGTCCTTTTGCATCTCAAAGTCAACCACACACTGCATCCATGACAACAGCGTGGCTTTATCATGGTGGAAGAGTCTGGCTGCTGGACTAATCCCCTGAAGTCCAGACCTCTCACCAGCTGAAAGCATTTGATGCATCATGAAAGCAAAGATCCAGGACTGTTGAACAGCTACAGTCCTCCATCAGACCAGAACGGGGCAACATTCCCTCCAAGACATCCAACAACTCAGGTCCTCTCAGACCCCCAACAGCTGGTCTTCTGGAGCCTTACAGACTGTTGTTAAAGGAGGGGAGTCTTCAGGGAACACGTGGAGCTGACCAACAGTTGATAACACCAAAATTTAAGCACTGGTTCCTAAAATGATTCATCTTTTTAACCTCATATTTGAAATGTTTTCTTTGATCCATTGTGAATAAAATATGGATTGATGAGATTTGCTGATCATCAAACCAGTTTTTAGTTACATGTTAAACATCGTCCCAACTTTTTCAGAACTGGGCGCGTTCATTTATTCTTCCATATGGAGTTTCTGCCCGTCATTGTGTCTGTTTGAGGGATGCAGGTCTGCAGCACACTGAAGCAGATGTTGCTCTGCTGCATTCTGACCTGCGCTGAAACAAAAGCTTTTCTTCTGTTTGCACTTTTCTCCTTTGGTCTGTTCAAAGCTGGTTACGTCTGCAAGCCTACAAGCAGAACAGCAAATTCAATTTGTCCACAACAAACTGCACTGATTACAGGCAAATCATCAAACTGAGCTCGGGGGGGAGATAATGCTGCGCTGTACCAAAAACACCTTTGCAGCAGCATTCTTTGGCCGGTGGCGGTCACAGCCAGTGTGGATAAATTCTGTCCTGAGACCCTGCCAGGGACAAAAGTACAGAACCAAGCTGCTGCCTCCGTCCTGGTGATGCTGCTGCTGTGAACGAGTGAGACTAACAAGTGGTTGCCATGCAGCAGCAGCCGGCAGCGTGCGTGCCTCCACAGAGAGAGATAGAGAAACAGAATGATAATGAGCAGGAGGCAGAGAGTAAAGCAGCACCAGGACAGGAGCTGCATCCCTCTGAAGACTCCCACATCTAACAAGCTGAAGATGCAGCCTCACATCAGCTGTTAGCAGCCATGGGTGGATTAACGGACACACGTCTGACAGCTGCCTGGAGGAGGAGTTGGTGGCAACAATCGGCAGCAACAGGTCTGTAAGGATGGCTCGATAATGATGGTGAGACACCTGATTTTCCTTTTTTAGACCTCCTGAATTTGTCAATGCAGTCTTTCTGACTCCCCCTCCCTCCCCCGTCTCCCTCAGCAGACTTGTGCAGTGTCCTCCCCATCAGTCCACTTCCTCTGCCCTCGTCTCTCTTTGTTTCGGTGTTTTCTCCTGTCCCTGTCAACATGGATCCTCCCTCCTCTGTGTCCCCCTCCTCCCCTGATCCGAGCCACCTGCTGCTTCATGTGAAAGAGCGGGACTCATGACAGAGACAGCCATTTTAGTGAACATGTGTGGTCAATTATCGTCCCTCTCTTCCCACCTGATCTCTGGCAGGCGTCTGCTCACATGCAACAGGTAGACATCTTGGACTGCATCTTCACCAGACGAGGCGTTTTCATTCGTCCATGCATGCTCTGTTGATGTGAAACAGCTGGCCGTGCACGCTCATACGGGCCCAGGCAGACATTCAGAAACAATAAACACAGCTTCGGCTCATTTTCCTGCAACCATTCTGAAAAAGTCTCAGTTTCCGTTTGCAGTTTTCTGCAGACAAATCCCAGACGAGCAGAGCTGGAGACATCTCCACACTTCTGTCTCCTCAGGAACCTGGAGCCGAGGAGGAGCCGAGAGTGTGGATCCATGTGATGAATACCCGTTTTATCCCTACCAGTGCTGGTATCGGATCAGATCCATGCTTTAGTTTGTTCATCTTGATTTTCAGTATGTTGCTCCTGATCCAGAAGTGCAATAAAAAAACTTTTACTTTGTTCTGAATAAAAACAAACAAACAAAAAACTAGAAAAATGTAAAAACCTTCTTTTGCTTTTAGCTTTTTTTTTATTTTTAACTTTTTTTTTTTTTACAAAATCAGTTATTTGGGTGAATTTAGCATTCGGAGCTTTTTACTACTTTTAGACATTTTTAGTAATAGCTTTTCTTTTTATAACTCTTAGTTCTATTTTCAGTTCTTTTATCTGGTGTTTTACACCTTTTAGCTCACAGCTCCTGCTTTGCTACTTTTACCTTTAAGCTAGAGTTTTGCTAATTTAAATATTTATTTAGCATTTTGTTACTTTTTGTTAGCGTTTTGCTTCTTTTAGCTTCTGTGCTGCCTCCTTTTCAGCTTCTTCAGACACTTTCAGCGCTGAACATTCACACTCTTTTGTCAAAGAAAATGCTAATTTTCCAATATTTTTAATTATTTGACAAAAAAAACTTTGTCTAAATTCTGTCGTGGGTTTTAAAATGTAAATAATCTGTCAAGGAACAGACGAAAACTTCAGTGAGTCATGAAAATAAGTTCAGATTTAGCATAAAGAGGATAAAACATGGCACACTGCTCTCGTCGAAGTAATACTGTACGAGCTCTAAAGGTGTGTCGGATCGATGTTGGTGGTACTGGTTCTGTGTTTACGTGATATCGGATCAATGGCAGATTCATGTCTCAGATCCCTCAGCCTGCAGTCTGCTCTGTCTGGGATCTAACAGGTGAACAGATCTGCACCGGGCAGAATATCTCTAATTAGAAGCACTTGTTTCACCTCTGTCCAGGTAACATGCAGGCTTTCAAACGCCCGAGCCTGTCAGAAGAGACATGAGGCACCTGGACGTGGGTCCACCATGAGCAGCGTCCACTTCAACCACTCCCTCCCTGCCATGAATGGGAACGACATGATGGCGCACTCTCTGACTCTGGAGCAGAAGACGGCGTTCGCCTTTGTGGGGATGCTGCTGGTGTTCCTGGGTCTGCTGATAGTCCGCTGTTTCAGGATCCTGCTGGACCCTTACAGCAGCATGCCCTCCTCCAACTGGGCTGACGGCATTGAGGGACTGGAGAAAGGGACGTTCGAGTACGCCCTCACCTAATGCCGAGACAAAGAGAAATCCAGGGACACGGGGACGTGAACACCTGAACGTGTCTCTGGTGCAACAAGCTCAAAATGAGAGAGTCCATGTTTGCAGATGCTGTGTCTCTTCCTCTGCCCTCTGCAGAGAGGAGTGCATTTAGCTCATCGATTGGCACAGAACTTGGCTGCAGCTCCCTTTAACCCAAACCCACATGGTGAATGTCATTCAGAGGTGGGTTCCTGTGGGATGGGGTGGGGGACACTGAAGACTCAGGGACAAGTTAGTGAACAGGCACCTTTGCACAGCAGAAATGTTCAGCACAAGTGAACAGCAATGTGAAGAGGTGGAAACAGGGTATTTTTGAGAACTTGACCGGTTTGTTGTTGACCTGAGGGTATCGTCTCACCGTGGTTGATGGAGACCCAAAACTGGGAGGACAGTTTTCTGTTGCAGTCTGACTGAACTCTGAGAGATTGGGAGATAAAAGTTGAAAATTCTGCCTTTTCATTTGAATTAAAAAGAGATCTTTGGAAGCAAGGCGAGACGTCTACGGTTTTTAAACTGTTAAGTTTTTTTGTGTCCTGGATGTATGAAAGTCTACACATTAAACATATCATGTGGACATATGGATGTGGGTTTTGGATATGGACACTGGGGACCACAGCCTCCAGATTTTTCTGTCAGAGGAGAGTTCCCTGCAGGGTCAAAATACACCTCTAGCCCCTGAAAAGCTTTGAGACACCCGCAAAACAGTTTTGGGTTTGAGATGGTTTTGAGACAAGTTTGAGACCCCCACAACATAACTGAGAAGGGTTCGAGACAGGTTTGAGAGTCATTGAGACAGGTTCATTACCATAATCAAGATGGGCTGTAACCAGGTTTGAGAAGTCCACAACAAAACTGAAAAGGGTTCAAGAAGGGTTTGAGATAGGTTTAAAATGTCTGACATAACTGAGACAGGATGTGGACAGGTTACCTGGAACAAAACTACGATTGGTTCAGCGTGGGCTTGAGATGAGTTCAAACAAGTCTGAGGTTCCTGCAACAACCCTGAATGTTGTGATGGAAAATTGGTTGCACAAATTCTTTAAACATGTTCAAAGGTTGAAAGTGTCTTCAACCCGTGTCATGAAGTTGAGAAAGTGTTGAGACTTCCTCCCAAATGCTGTTCACCCACTAGCCAGTCTCCAGCAATCGCAACCCGGTGAGATTGTGGCCCAAAGGAAAGCAGCCACTGTTTTCTGAGGTTGTGCAACAAAAAGGCAAACTGTGAAAAAAATTTTATTTTAGCGTTCCTACTTTTTGTCGACAATGCAAAACGGACTCTGATGAAACGAAGCTGCTGCTGTTTTAAGCAACCGTGTCCAGAATATCTGTTGGAGTGACAGTTCAGAGAGGTGAAGCAGTTAGAGGTGGCTGGTGAGATACTTTAAAGAAAAATTAAAACAATGAAGCTCTTCTGAGCTGTAACTCTGTCGCTCCGATCACTGGGGTTCATGTCCTGTGTCCAAAGGTCAAAAGTCAGTGTGAAGACAGAGCTGGGATGTAACTACACTTGAACCGCTTTTTCCTCTGTCCTACGTCTTTTCCCCGCCCTGCTTTCGTTCTTCCAAAAGATGGAGAACAGAAACTGGTTCTGAAAGCCAACGGACCGCCCCTATCTGGACCTGTTTGGTTCTGATCCAGTCCTCCTCCTTAGTGCTGTGAATCTGCCTCACTGTGACCTCCACTGGGTTGATGTGCCTTCATCTACAAACAGTGTGTGTGTGTGTGTGTGTGTGTGCGTGTGTGTGTGTGTAATGTCATGACTGTTGCTTGCTTTGCCGATGATGGAAATATTTTTTTAATTTGTTTCATTTGATTTAATGATTTAAATAAAACAAGTTTCTTCAGTTTAGCGTTTGTTTCATGTTCTGTTTAAGTGTCTTTGAAAAAGCTGAGATCAGTTTCATGTGTCAAATTCAAAAAGCAGAAGGTGTTTGACCCGGTGGAGTTTGGACCCAGGAAATCCAGACTGATACGAGGAGCTTAAATAAAAATAAAGTTTATTTTAACATAAAATAAACTTTATTTTATCATAAAAGAAGAAGAAGAGAGAGCGGACTCCAGAAACTGTCTTATCACCATCAAACTGGTTGGCCCACTATGTGAGTGTGCTGCTTATTGGACTGAGTTTGTTGTGGCTCCTTGGACTGATGAAGTCCTTTGGATGAAAGAGTTCAACAATTTCAACAAAAATGAAACCATCCCCGACTCAACTTTATTGGTTTTATGGACATAATTTCTTGGTGCAGCCAGGTAGCAGAGTCCACTTTGGTGGCCTAAGGATTTCTTCTCTGCTCTTTGCAGATGATGTGGTCCTGCTGGCATCATCATGCCGTAATCTTCAGCTCTCACTGAAGTGGTTCGTAGCAAAGTGTGAAGTAGCTGGGATGAGGCCATGGTCCTCGGTCAGAAAAGGATGGATTGATCTCTTCAGGTTGAGGGTGAGGTTCTGCCTCAAGTGGAGGAGTTCAAGTATCTCAGGTTTTTGTTCATGAGCGTGATATTGACAGATGGTGCAATGTCTGCAGTATTGCGGCCTCTGTACCGGTCCGTTGTGGTGAAGAGATAGCTGAACTGTAAGGCAAAGCTCTCTGTTTACCGATCGGTCTATGTTCCTATCCTCACCTATGGTCACAAGCTGACTGAAAGAATGATATCGTGGATGCAGGCGGTTGAAATGAGTTTTCTCTGCAGGGTAGCTGGACTCTCCCTTAGAGATAGGGCGAGAAGTTCAGTTATTTGGAAAGACTCAGAGTTGAACCGCTGCTCCTCCACATCGAGAGGAGCCAGTTGAGGTGGTTCGGGCATCTGGTACGGATGCTCCCTGGGTACCTCTGTAGGGAGGTGCTTCAGGCATGTCCAACTGGGAGGAAACCCCAGGGAAGACCCAGGACACGCTGGAGAGACAGTGTCTCTCGGTTGGTCTGGGAACGCCTTGGAATCCTCCCAGAAGAGCTGGAAGAGGAGGCTGTGGAAAGATGTCTAGGCCTCCCTGCTCAAGCTGCTGCACCCACGACCCAACTTTGGAACAAGCAGAAGATAATAGATGGATGGATGAATGGATGGATGGATGGATGGATGGGTGGATGGATGGATACTTTTATGCAAAATAAAAACTAGAAACCATAGTTTCCTCAAACGATATGGTGGCCTGTTTACACACACACACACAAACATATGTATCAGTATATATACATACATATATATGTAGTGAACTAAGCCTCAGGTCAAAATCTGGCCTTGAGGGCCTGCCTGGAACAAGAACTGTATTTCATTGATTTGAGTCCAGAAACACAAGATCAAGTCCATCCAGAAGACTTTCTAAGTGTCCTGCACTGATCAATTGAAAGAACACTCTCTTTTTCTATTATCATTACTATTTTACAAATGTTTGATAATCAAAGTGTGTTTAGTTCAAACCATTTTTAAATGTTGAAGTGAACTAATCATTTTTAATCAACTGTGAAACAGTATTAGTGATTTTTAATCCTCATGCAAAGTAGAAATCACGTTAAGGTCTGTTACAGAGTAATTATGCATTTTCTGATTTTCTGTCTTTGAATGAGCAAGTGTAAGTTGGTCCAAGGTTGGAGTCAAATGCAAAACAAGTTGTTGGAACGAACTGTCATGTTTTTAAATCCTCTCAGACGTAAATATAGAGGCTGGCACCTGTTTTCTCCCAACTCGCCTAAATATTCCTCTCGTCTGTCTTTAAACATTTTCAATCTGTTCCATAACATTCTTGTTGTTTTTCTGACTTCTAGTGACCTCTTACGTCACAAAAACACACCCCTGTCTGGTCGAAACGACCAATCAGGAACCTCCCAAATGAACCGGAAATAGAACTCTTTAAATGTCGGTACTTCCTAGTTCAAACGAGTCGCTTCAGGCTCCGGCTTCAGTCGTTTGCAGCTCCAGTGCTGGGGAGAACAGAAGTCCAGGCATGATCCAGAGCTCTTCCGAGTCTTGTGGGAATTATGCAATCTTCCACCTCTGAGTGGAACTTCTGACGGACTCCACTCATGTGAGTCCACCAAGAGGTGAACTTGTGTCGAACAAGTACCGTCACTACTTCGGACGATTCACAGCTGTTCCTACGGAGATGCTGAAAGGGTGCGTTAAATGGAACTTGGTACCAGTGGAGACATCTCCAGGTAAAGAGTTGATTTATACCACCTAAGTGTACCGGGGAAGAAGCTGGGAACTCACCGGAGAGTGCCGTTCTGATGCCGACACACACATTTCCCTCATCCATCCTTTCTCTCAACTTAAACTTCAATTTCCATCTTTAAACTCTTCTATCTGCTAGAAATCATTCCAGATATTTTTAGAAATGTCTGTTGTACAGCTGGAAGCAAGGGAAACAATCGCCGTATGGTTTCCTCCTTGTAAAACTTGCTAAATTATCCATGTTGTTATTTTTCAATTTGCCAAATTAATGTAAATGTGTGATGTTAAACTTTGATTCTGTAAATAAATGACCGCATTCATTTTGATGGGTCAAAGAATATTAACGTCTCACGATACATTTTATTAAATTCAATGCACGTTATTATTCAGTCCAGAAAAATGAAAGAATCCGTTTAATTTATGAATATATCACAGAATATGTTCATCTACATATATATATATATATATATATATATATATATATATATATATAT